ATGTTTTAGACACATAATAAATGCATTATTTCATATACATTTTAAAATAATAAAGGTGAAATGGTGTTACATTTGACTTTTCAAATATAACATGAGTCAGTAGAAGCCAGTCTTCCATTCATGATGTATGATATTTTTAATGTGTATTGCTGGACTCATTTTGATGGTGAGGAGTTTTGCACTTGCATTTGTAGATGTTACTGGTCTGTAGTTTTCTTTTTCTTGTAATGTCTTTCAGGTTTTGGTATCAGGGTAATGCTGGCCTCATAAAATAATTTGGGAAGTATCTTCTCCTCTTACATTTTCTGAATCATTTTATTGTAAGATAAGGAGATCTTTTGAAAGATTTCTTCCTGAAATTTTGGTAGAATTAATTTTCTGTTTCATTTTTGTGGTGGTTTTGGTAACTTATATTTTCAAGGAATTTGTTCATTTTATCCAAGTTGTCAACTTTGTTTCTTTATTATCCTTTTAATGAATGTGATAGTAACCACTGGTATTCATGATACTGATAATTTGTATACTGCTTTTTTTCTCGATCGTTCTTACCCATTTTGTTGGTCTTTTTAAGGAACCGGATTTTGACTCTTTGTTTTTCTTTTTGTTTTGTATTTTACTGATTTCTTCTCTTTATTATTTTCCTCCTGCTACTTACTTTGAGTTTACTTTTATTCTCTATTTCTAGTTTCTAAAGCTACTGATTGCTAGATATTTCATCTTGTTATAAAAACATTTAAAGCTCTAAGTGCTTCTTTAGCTACATCTCACAAAAGTTATAATGTATTTTCATTCTCATTTAAAGTATTTTCCAATTCATTTTGTGATTTCCTTTTTGAATCATGGGGTATTTAGAACACATTGGTTAATTTTCGTATATTTAGGGTGGGGATGAGGTTTGGTTATCTTGTTACCAATTTCTTATTTAATTCCATTGCAGTTACAAAACATATACTATATAATTTCAGTCTTTTGAATGTGAGACTTCCTTAAGGCTTAACATTTGGATTTGGTATATCCCAAGTCCACTAAAAGAGAATTTTTATTCCATAGTTTATTGATGCCATGTTCTATAAGTATCCATTAGGTCAAGGTTGTTGATAATGTTTTTCTTCTCTGTCTTTACCATTTTGGAGGGTGGTGACACATGCAAGGGAGAGGTTCTAGAAGTTGCTTAGACAGTAGTTTCCATTCATAGTTGTGAAATTGTCTAGTTTCCTCTTTAGTTCAGTCCATTTTTACTTTGTTTTGAAACTCTGTTATTAGGTGCATACATATTTGATTGTTATGTCTTCCTAATGTATTGACCCATTGGTCATCGTGAAATTTTCCTCCTTGATTTCTAGTAATGCTTTGTCTTAAAGTTTAATTCATCTAATGTGAATTTAGCTACTTTGGATTTCTTATGCTTCCTGTATGCATAGTATGTTTTTTAACTGATTTGTCTTCATATCTAAGATGATCTTTTTAAGATAGCATATAAAAAAGCCATCCTAACTATTATCTGCCTTATAGTTAGTGTTTATAGTCCATTAACATTTAATGTAATTATTGACACAGTTGAATTAGGTCTACTCTTTAATTAAATTTTTTATTTATTCCTTCTGATTATTATTCTTTTACTCTTCCTGCCTTGTTTTTTTATTAATTTGGTATTTTTTTAGAATTTAATTTTAACTTATCAATTGACTTTTTAGCTATACCTTTTTGCATTATTGGTTATCTTTTGTTGGTAGCAGTAAATTTACATCTCTAACTTTTCAAGGTCTACTTAGAGTTAATTTTGTACCACTTAAAGTAAAATGTAGAAATCTAAACAATCGTTTAGGTATATTTACCTTCCCCTCCTCTCATCCTTTACACATACTTACCCAGATGTGTTACTTCCATGTGTATTATAAAGGCTACAATACAATGTTTGTGATACTTGCTTTAAATAGTCATATGTATTTTGAAGAAATTAAGAGAAAAAATATTTTATTTAACCACATATTTGCCATTTTTAATGCTCTTCATTCCTTCTGTTCTAAATCCTTGTCTCCATCTGGTTTCATTTGCCTTCATCCTGAATCTTTTTTACCATTTCTAGTACTTAGATCTGCTATTATATCTGAAAAAGTCTTTACCTTCATTCTTGAAAGGTAGTTTTGCTGAAAAGAGAATTCTGGGATGAAAGTTTTTTTTCTTTCAGCATTTTAAAGATGTTGTTCCACTATCTTCTTATACTCTTTGTTTCTGATGAAAAGTCTTTGTTAGTTTGAATTGTTGTTCTGACGTATGCAGTGAGTCAGTGGATTATTCTCTGCCTGCTTTCAGTATTTTCCCTTTATCTTTGGTTCCCAGCAGTTTGACTATGGCATGCTTAAGACTGGTTTGTTTGTTTGTTTTTTTGGGTTTTTTTGTAATAAAACCCTGGTTGATATTCACTTCTAACTGTCAGCTCTTTCTGCTGTTAAACTCATCTAGTGAATTTTTATTTTAGGTATTTATTCTTCAGTTTTAGACATTGTTTTGTTCTTGAGCATAGTTAGAATAGTGGCTTTAAAATTCTTGTCTATTAATCCGGCTGATCTCAGGATTGGTCTCTTATCAGTTTATCCATTCCCAAGAAGAAAATTTTTTTCATGTATGTACTGAGTAATTTTGGATTGTATCCTAGACTTTATGAATGAAAAGTTGTGGAAACTCTGGGCTCTGTTATTTCTATTACGGTTCTCCAAAGGATATTGGATGGTTTTGTGGTTTTTTTTAAAGCAAAGAGTTAACCTTGGCTGAACTCATATTGCAAAGTTGTGTGCCCTGAAGTGGCTGATAGCTCAGATTTCACTTCACTTCTTTTATCCTGAGTTGGACTTCTTTGGAGCTTATTCCTACTCAAGTCATAAATTTGACCAGAGTTTATGCAAAGAATTGGGGCTCTCCCTTTCTAGGAATCCCCGTCAGGCTTTCCAGCAGCTGTTGTTGCCCTAATACTTGTCTCCTGGTTCATCATGCTAGTAACACTGAGTTTTATGTTGTAGTTTTAGCCATTTCACATGGTACAGACTGGATCCTGTCCTTAGGCCAAAAGTTTTTCATAAGGGGGGACTAATTCCATGTTGTTCCCTTCTTCCAAGTATTGATTCTTTTCTAGTACATGCCTGCTTTTGTTAACCCTTCAGTGTCTTCAGGAGTTATTTTTCCATATTTTATCCAGAGTAATCTGCAAGAGGATTGGTCTGACAGGAGCTTACCCACCCATACTAGAAGGGTAACTTGGCTAAGAGCAACTTTTTAATGACTCATTGGGGCTTGATGTTGGTTTGACTATAGAAGGATGAGTCCTAAGTCAAGAATGTTTCTAGTGGCCTAACCTTTTAGCCTTTTAGATAGTGGTGAGATAGAGATACAGAAGAAAATAGCTGTTTATGGGGAAATGATGAGTTCAGTTTTAAACATGTTAAATTTATGTTTCCTGTCACATATCTCTTAGAGATTTCAGGTAGGATATACAGATCTTGAGGTAAGGCAAAAGGCCTAGGACAGAAGTATAAATTTGAAGGTCGTTGGCAAAATAGACAGTAGTTTAAAATGATGGAATAAATGAGTTTCCCAGGAAGAAAGTAGGAAGAAAAGAAAAATTTGTTTTCTGTTATTTGAACTTCTGTTAATTGTTCTGTATTATTTGAACTTGGATTGCTTGTGAAAATCTAAGCAGTAGTTTTTATGTTTTCGTATAGCTACCAGCGGACCTTCTAGTGCAGTTGTTCCTAATACCTCATCTCGGAGAAAGGGTATGACTAGCAAAACAGAAATGCATGAGCACAAAAAAAGCACTGGGAAAAAGAAATGAAATCTTCTTAGCAGAAGCTGGAACTCATAAAAATCACATGTTCAGTAGAGAAGGACATGTAAGAAACCTTGACTGAAAGTGTCAAAGCAAGTGATGTGTATCCCCTTGAACATCTCTGTATTCATTTAAAACATACATTAACTATAGAGAATTCTTTGTATATATTCAGGTAAGGAACTTTTGTCATGATCTGGAAATGTTTAAAACAATGTTTATTGGTGTTTTATGAGTAGCAAAACTTACGGTGATAAAGGTTTGTGGTTCTCAATGTGATGTTTACTATGTGCCCGTGGTAAAGAAAAGGAACGTAAAAGCCTGGCTGGCCTGTACCAGTGTCACACAGTGATGCTGTTTACTAAAGAATCTGTGAGGTAGCCTCTGTACACATTTTCATTTTCATGGTATTGCATTTGGCTGTAGAAACCTGTAGCTTATAGCCTGGGTTGACATTTGATGGCCAGGGTTACACACTATGGACTTTTAAAGTATATTTCCAAAGAGATTTCATTGATCATTTAGATTAGAAACTTTTTTTTCCCCAATTGTTACAATTACATATATGCTGCAATATTTAATAACTGGAGTATTAGCATATGGGTTATTTTTTCATTCTGTACTTTGAATTTTCTATTATGTGTTATTTAAAATATTACATATACAGCTGGGATGACTACACCTTTACACATATAAATTTGTATATTAATTTGTAGAAAGTATTTTCTTTATATATTCTTTACCATAAGGTGCTTTTTGTTCATCAGGAAAATTTGCTTTGTGCATTGGTGGGAAAGACACGTTGAGAATTTCTTTTTAGGAGAAATGATTGACAAGTTTATAAATACTGCAGTGATTTTCAGAGTTCTTTTTAGATCTAGGAAAATGAGTTCAGAATTGGAAACCATCACGGTAAGATGTAAGAATATCTGAATTCCGTAGTTAGTAGATACTATGTACACCACACCTGTGTTTCCCATTTCCATTCTTATCTCTAGTATATCAGTTGTTCTCATTAAGATAACTTAAAGATTGAGCGTTTGAAATAAATGCTCATTTCAAATAATTACATTTTGAAGGGAAATTGAGATCATTGTGTTGTGATTTCATTTATGACGTGAAAAAAATATTTATTATCCTTGGTGCTTATTTTGCCCTGATGCGCAAATGATTGTAAGCCACTTGAAATGACTTAAACTGTAAACCAAATAGTACAGTCTGATAAGAATTCCATCTGTGGCCAGTCAGATAACTTAAGTTGCTACAGCTTTAGTTTGAGGCTTATGCTTAGAAAAATTACTGAATTCTCATATGAATCGCTATTCAGATCCTCAGAAGAGACTCTCCTAACCTTAAATCATTATATATGAACTTACGTTAGAAAATAAGCATATTACGTGTTAGTTTTAGGAGGTACCAGATGCGAAAGTCACAAAAATACACAATTATAGAAGTTCATATTCTTGACATGAATGTAAATGTATTATAAGGAGACATGTCTTGTAAAAGTTGAATGTACCTAACCGTTCTGTATGTGAAAATGTGGTTAATGTGCTCACTGTTGGAGTGAAGAAACTACTTTTATTTTTTAAGTGGAACTGAATTAAAATGTTTTATTTCTAGAATCACAGGGTGACTTAAATGGCAAATTATTTTTTGTTTATTTTCTTTGTCCCTTTCCTTTTAGCTTTCAAAGTAGAAAGAATGAGGAAAGCTATTTTAATAATAAACATGCTTATCTTAGATATAAGATAAAATGTCTTAGTATTGGCCATACCTATTGCAATGTATTCTCTAGACATAAACTAGAAAGTTCAGTACAACTCACATTTTTCCACTGCTATCAAGAACTGTGATTTTACTGTGGTCACCAAACTTGATAATATTGCTGTGTAGATAGGACAGTTTTATTTGCAAGAATCTTAGATTCATTTTCTAAAGCAAATAAAGTATTTCCTTTCAGAGCAAGAAATTATAGTTATCACTATTTAGTGGAAGTTTGAAGCATCTATTTCTCACTTGATTCTGTCCCTGGAAGGTATGGTTTTTGTTTACTTTCAATAATAGAAGATATTTCTTCTTGCAGCCTAATCCTCCAACCAGCAAAGAGATGGGAAGGCCCAGCTTGAGGAACTGCCCAATTATCCTGGGATGTTAGTCTTCATAGTACATTATTCCTTCTTTTCACCACTAAAAATCCTACACATAAACTCAAACCTAACTGTGCCCTTCAAGTCCATTGCCAGCAGGTTCTGGTGCTCAGTTCTAAAGAGTTTTCATAGTCTGTTCTCAACTGCTAGCTGATGTTTTGGGAGTGTTACATCAGTCTTGGATTACAGAGAAAAGTGTGCTGAACACTTTATCTCCTGTTTCCTTTGAGCAGGAGATGGAGGCAGAAGGGAGACAGTAAAGGGACGGAGAACATGTGGCAGTGTGCTTAGTACATATGTACCTAAGCAGGAAGACAGCAGATGGCAGTTATGAGAGAAAAGCTAAATGTATGGTTCTTCTTTAAGAACTATGTCATTAAAACTCTTTAGACAAGGGAAAAGTGTTTTGATCAAGGTTACCCCGATTTTCCTCCAGGTTCTGCTGACCCCGACCTACATTTCCACTATTACTTAGTTCCATGCCAGTCTGAACTAAGATTTTACTTTTTTGTCTTGTGTTCGTACTTTCCTCAGTCTTTCCTTGTGTGCTTATCAAAGTTTGCTTAACATCAACCTTTCATTAGTTTTACATCAGTTTACCCTTGCCTTGCTGTCTGGACAGTGTGGACTGCCTGTATGATTCTCGGCCAGGGTGGGATCACTTCTGTCACGGCCCAGCAGTTCCCTCTCTAGCCCCTCTCTAGTTCTCTTTCTCTGTACCTGGTGCTACCACAAACAGCAGCATGCTTGCCCTTGGGAACAATTTTTACACTCTTTCTGAAGGAGCCCCCCATAATAAGGAGTCCAAGTAGAAACAACTCTCCCTTGCTATGGAGTCAAGGGCACCAAACTGTTGACGTGCAGTTTTCTTTACATGGGTTACTTTTTGTGGAAGGTCTAATCTCTATTTTCAGAGAATGGAGGACTATATATTATATCCCAATTAAATACATTATTTAGATTTTCTATAATCTTTTCCTTTGGTCCACGTGCTTAGTTATGACTTGAGAGAATCGTAATAGGGGTTAATGTCAAGTTCTCCTTTTATTGTCTGTGGTTTTTACTTTTTTCTATATAGTGTGTGGCTGTGTTTTCTGTTGTATATGAATTCATGACTGTATATTTCCATTGTAGGTTTTACCTTTGTCATTATTTTTTTTTCCTCAGTGGATGCTTTTGACCTGTAATTAAAATGTCGTATATTAAGATTATGACCTGATTTGGCTTGCAGTTGCCTGAAATACTTTATCCATCCTTTTATTTTGTATATTGTATTAATTTAAATAGGTATTTTATTTTTTATTTTATTTTAACATATTATATAGTGGGTTTGCTTTGTAATTCAACATTAGTATCACTCATTTCATATATTAGTGTAGTCTACTTGTACTTATTTATATGTGATATATCTTTGCTTTTATATGCTTTCTGGTGTTTATTGCTTTTTTAGTTTATCTTTCTGTAAAAGGATAATTTTCACTGCAAGTGAGAAAAATTCCAATTGAAATTGACTTAAAATCATAAGGAAATTTTCTATTAACACATTTCTGAAGGTTCAAAGATGGTGGGCTCCAGAAACAGCCCTATCAGTCATAATGTCATCGAGGGCCCTGGTTCTCTCCTGCTTTCCTCTAGCACAGTGTGAGCTTTAATCCCAACGTTGTTTTCCCTCATGTTCACAAGATGGCTGCTAGGGGCTGCATGGTTCCTTGTTCATGTCCAACATAACAGAAATGGAGGAAAATCCTCCTTCAACCACAGAATAGGAAGTCTTCTACTTCAGTGTGATTGAGCCAACTTATTTGGTCATCTGCCCACTTCCTGGATGCATAACGTTCACCAGGAGAATTCGATGAACTTATTGTCCCTGGTGATACGGTCAGGTTCCCCCCAAAGTCTCAGCGCTGTTGATATTTTGGACTAGGTAGTTCATTGTGGGAGGCTGTTCTGTACATTGTAGGATGTTTAGCAGTATCCCTATGCCAAGCTGCAAGACAATGAGCTGAAGTGAAAGTAACAATCAAGTGTTAATCTCCTCACTTTGAGAGGCCCAAAAGGAAAGCAGGGGACCCTTGCTCCTCACTGTTCTATTCCTCCCCAGCCCCCATGGAATGGCACTGGGCAAGGGTCAACTAATTGGCACGCAGAGCACGTGGAAGAAGTAGCCTCACTGCTGAGGAGCGTGGAACAAAAGGTTCCTGCCATCTTATGAACCAGGAAGACTTGGGGAAGGGAGATGGGGAAGGGCTGGGAGTGAAAAAAACTGAGTCAGAGTGGAGAAAAAGAACCTTTGTCAAAGGGACCAAGGACCTCCTTGGTCAAGGGGACCTCCCATAAGGAGGTCTCAGTGGAAATGTGTCTCAGTCAAGTTCTCCTGACTAAGGAGGCCTCTGAATGGGGGTCCCTGGGCTAGGAATGGAGACATGCACATGAGCATGTAGACCCAGGAAGTACTGACTAACTCCCTTGGAAGACTACGTATGGGAAGGGCAACTTTTCCCCATGAATCATGCCAGACAAAGCCTTTGTAATTGCCCATGGTGAGGTCTGAAAGATCATAGGATTTTGGCCTACAGCCAGCCTCCTCATCCTGGCCTCTATCCTAAATGCCAGTAGCATCCCCTTAGATAGTGAGAGTCAAAAACCCCTCCAGATATGATCAGATGTCCCCTGGATGGGCAGAATAACCTTCAGTTAAGAACCAGTGCCCGAAAGCACATATTTATGTGAAGAAAGGGTGAATATGTAACCAAAATTAGGGTTTTGATGGGAAGGAGGGCTAGGGGAATAGATAACAAGTAAGTAATCAGGGGTATACACTGTATCCTATCATATTATCCATGTTTGCTATGGTTTCTTTGATTCCACTAGTGGTTTTCTTTTTAAGCAAAATTTTCACTTACACATTTAGTTTCTAGGTGCTGTTGACGCATTGCTCTGAGTCATGTCCAATTAGCATACTTTCTTCTGCCTTTCTCTGCTGCACAGGTTTGCTGATTTCCTTCATTCTTCCTGCGTTTACCTTTATACATATTTTTATGCCTTTATTACATCCTAACAACTGAAATACTATATTTTGAACCCCTGGTTGATCAAGATGAAGGAATCCTTTCACCTTCTCTCCTCTTTAACTTCTCTTAGTTTAGCTTATCTCCTCTGTATTCCTTCTGGTGTGGCCTTATTTCTGGGATGGCTTTACTTTTTCTTTCCTGAACTCTGTTAGCCCATATTGCATTTCCTCTCGTTGTGTTGCCGTGTGGTTTCAGTTCACTTGTATACCTGGATGAACTTTCCATTTCCTTAAATCCTTTGAGTTATGACAGTATACTTGGTCACATGTTTTGTATGCTCAGTGAATTCATTTTTTCTGTTGAATGGTTTCATCTGCTGTTGTTTCTCCGGTTCTTTCCTCCTTTCCTTTCCTTGGAGTACATGTTTGTATGAGCCCAGCGTGGGGTCATTCTTATTATTACTCTTCTTCAAATGAGGTAAGTTTCTTTCTGGCTCACCTGTTGGGCATCAATTCATATGGTGGGTAGGGCAGCAATTTGGGTTAATAGTTCTTCCTGGGTCACAGTGAAGCTGCTCGCGACAGGATTGTGGGTCAGCGAGAGCTGTCTGAGCCTTTTGTTCTGTCCAGCCAACAAGGATTGGTCCCTGCAGAGCTGCTCACCCTTGGAGTCTCTTTCCTCTCCTCTGCCTCACTGCAGTCGGCTTCTTGTACGTGGCATGTGAGCATTTCGTCCTTCGGCTTTACCTCTCCCGTTACTCTGTGGTACTAGCGAGTATCTCGTACATCCCCTCCTGCTGGCATTTAGCCCATTTCTGTTTGTTTGTTTTTTTTATCAGACAAGGAATTGGTTTTGCCCCTCAGATTATGCCATCTATTTTGGAGTCTCCCTCTAAAGACTCTGAGGCCTGGACCTGCAAGCGTCCTCTCCAGGCATCATCCTGTTCAACCTTTACCGCGTTTGTCAGCTTTTTCTCACATATTGTGGTCGAGGTTACAAGTGTCTTCTCACTTTGTTGAAGACAATTTATATTTCTGTTTAATATTTGGGGATAATTTTTTATTGAGAAATGATTCCTCATTTATTTTCAAACTGGTTGTGACTTCTTTTTTTGTTACTGTCCTTTAAGAAGATGAAGAAGAGGGGGAAGAAGGAGAAAAGGAGAAGCCCGTATCTTCTCATCAGTTACATTTTTTAATGAAGTTAACGATGCCAGTCTTGCCAACAGTACAATGTTGGCAGGATCAAATGAAATGATAATTCAGTAAACCACAAAGGGAAGAACAAATCTGAAGCGTTTTTTGCATGCTTTTGATGTAATAGATTTTTCTATAATCCACATGTCAACCAGGCCTGTTTTCAGTGATATTTCAGCATTTTTCAGTCAAGGATGTTCTAGACAGCTCCTAATACTCTTTTATGGTTGCTCTTGTTGCCATGGGAACAGCCTGCCTAGTAACAATCTGA